CACAAGAGATGCACGAGGTCTGAGACGTATTTGGTTGGTAGTGTCCTTCGCTGCAGGGAGCGCACGCTGTGCTCCCAAAACTGCTGGCTGATGTGCCCTTCGGACACGGCTCACACTGGGTCGAGTAAGTGTTTGATTGGCTGTAGCCAGGAGGGCAGAGCTTGCATTGGAAAGTCCTTCCCTCATCATCAATGAGCTCCTCCGATGCTGTTCCTGCCTGACAAAGGCCACATCCAACGGCACTTGTCCTGTTGGAGACAAAAGCTCCTGACGCATCAACCAACCCAAAGCCTTCATAGCAGCTGGTCAACTTTGGTTTCCAAGCTGACCACCTCGGAACATCGAACATATTTACAGTTCCCTCACCTCTGCGTCACTCAAGGTTTGTGAGATGGGAGATAAGTCACAAATAGTCACAGCCAAAGAAAGTAATGAAAGTAAAATGAGCACTAAGATATGCTATTCTGCAAGCCACCAAATAGAAGTCGATGCTGATATTAGGTGAATAAGTGCGATATTAATAATGTATATATAGATATATGTATACAAAAAATATACATACGACATATACAAGGCAGCATTACTAAGCTTATCATTGATCATGTTTCCCCTGACCGTCGCTCCTCGCCTGGCTCGATTGTTTTGCAGCCACTTGCAGGAGACATTGTAGGCTGACCCAGACTGCTCAAACTCCAACAGGAGATCTTGCACTTCCGGGAGCTCGAAGTTGATGTTGGACACAAACCTTGGCATTCCTTTGGACTCTGGACCGACCAAATGAGGCGATCGCGCAAGAAAAAGACTCCAACTGAACCAACAGCAACTTCTGCTTGGGGACACCATCAGCAACAGCGTTTGAATTTCCCACTAGATCGGGGAACATCAAGCACATGACAAAAATCGACTACCAAATTTGACTCCAAAGGAACTCTCGAACGCGGCCAGCCTTGGACTGCAAGTTGTTGCTGACCATCTTGGACACGTAACTTCCTTGACCTCCTGTCTTCTTGTCTCCAGCAAGCCACTCGTTGGCGCTGTGCCGAGCAAAAATCAATTGTTCGGGCAGCATTTCAATAAAAGTTGAGTCTGGAACCCACCAGTAATGCAAACACCCCACGGTCCGTACATGCTTCAAGAACAAGGACCACCCACCAGAGACTCCGAGGGCGGCTGGAATTCCATAAGCTGTTGACCATTGCATCATCGGCTGCGCTTTCCACCCTGTCCCAGCGGTAAAGACTGGGATACAAGTGGAGGCATTTTGCCGGCGCGCAGGGGCATACCACCAGCGGTTGTTCGTGCACTTGGCGACAAATGTGCCATCTAATTGGCTTACGACCCCGTCGTAGTCGCCCGTATACTTGGCATAGTCCGACATTTGGTTCCGGTCACTCAGGTCGGTCTCATTGCAAAGCGCCAACTCTGACAAGTCCACATCATAGATGGAACCAAAATATTTCCTGACGCATGTTCGGCTCAAAAACTCAGGTTCTACGCACGCACACACACCAGGACGATCACAAAAAATGTGAAGTTTGTAGTTTCAGCAAACCAGCTTCTTTGGATCGTGATGCGTAGTGTTGTAGCCTCTGCTGAACTACTGGTCAAAACCAAGCAAAGAAAACAAACAAATTCCCAACACAAGCGCAAACTGTGAGGACCTAGTTCACAGCAAAACTTCGGCTGAATCGACAAGGCAACCGCCGGATCTGAACCAACACAAGTCAAGCTTCCACGCGTGAAAACCAAAGTTTTGGAGAATTTGGATCGGTTTTGGATGTTTTTCCTGGCATCGCTGATGTTGAAGGCGCGGTTCAAGAACTGGTGATAGGGCAGGGGTCTGGCTGCAGTGACTTCGTTTGCGCAACCCAGTTCAGCTAAACGAGGGAAACACAGCCTGGAACATAGAGCTGATGTGTTTGAGCCAAAGATCTACGATCGGTGTCATACCAAAAGGATTCTACCTGACATGATGACATGACTGGGGACGCACCTGTAGCATTCTTCAACCGTCCCCAGCCGATGCCATCCTAAACGGCAATGTCCGAACTTTATGGATTTGGCGCTCTCAAGGTCATCTCCAGCACAAGTGTTCAAATTTTGGGCTGGTTGCACTGAAGTTGCGCGTCACAGCATTCCAGCGCAAAGACATCAAGCAGCTCTTGAACTCTACCTCCGCGACGCAACTGTGCACTGCAACGAGCTTCAATAACAGCAATCACTGCTCGGCTGTCCAGCTGTCCAGCTGAACTTCATCGCTGGTACTTCCATCAGCGCTGCGTTTTGAAGCTATACGCTCGCGCAAGCAATAAGCGCTGTGGAATTTGTTTTCAAGACGACCATACGATGGGAAACATGGCGCGCCTATTCTCGAAAAGAGTTCGTCATTTCGTGGCGCACACTTACCGTGAACACGCGAGACAAAATTCGAGCGCCTGTTTCTTTGCTGGGTTCAACAACTGCCCCTTTGGCGACATAGCCGACAGTCGTCCGGAGATGGCTTTTCAATCTCAACATCTGTCGGTCCTGCCCGTGGACGCCCGGCTTGCATTTAAGAGCGCTGAGCCAACGTGGGGCTCCTGGCAAAACATAAATGTAAATCTTTGATGACACTACTTGCCGGAAAGCGCAGCGTTGCATGTTCTCCACAATGGACAACCAACGGATGGATGACTTGAACGTGAGTCACGCTTCCGTCTCCGCGAAGGTGGGAACCCACAACGTCCAACCGGCCTGAACCTGCAACGATAGCCACAGCGAACTTTGCAGTGGAAGCTGCTGACTTTGCATCCGGCCTTTGGAGGCGCTGTTCATGGAATGGACAGTTTGGAGAACACCGTAATTGGAACGCGCTTGGCGTAGGCTTTGTTCGTGAGCAACCCCACGACCTCACACTCCCTTAAGTCCCGAACGCGAACGCTACCGCGCGACCTTCCTGATCCAGCATCCTGGCAGATTGAAGAGTTCCGTGAAACCCGAATCTTTTGCGGCCCCACAACGCCCCGCAAGCTCTAATTCTAGGAGACGTTTGCCGGGTGAGACAATCTACCTATTCTTGAAACGTTGGCCGATCATGTGAAGGAAAGCCCTACCACTTGGCTGTACAGTGGTTTGCTTCTGAGGGCTTTGCGTCCACCATTAAAGACCCAACGCATGTCAAGGCGTGGCAACAGACCGCTGTCAAGCACGGCATATTGCACTCTGCCCTCTGAGAACTCAAAACAAAATCAACCTTCAGAAAAATCTCGCTCTCGTCGATCTGCCAGACCTGCCGCGATTCGGGTCAGCCACGCGTTCTTTCAGGAATTCTGCTGCCGACAACGCGTGGAAATCATCTACCGTTATCAACGACAAGTCTTTGAAGCGATATAAGTACTTCTCCGCAGCAAACCCAAACGCGTTGGAACCTACGTCAACGGAGGCATTGTCGTCACACGGCGTTGAAGCAAAGTCGCGTCCCTTACTTGGTGCTTCTCTTGGCGACAACGCAAGACGAACATAGAGACCTTAGAGACCCATCCATCCGCGGCGGCCCATGTTGGTCGTTGGAAGCGTTACTTGAAGAGACGCTCTGTGGTCTGCGGCGCTCTTGATTTACGCGCGTCATTCTTGCGACGCCTGCGCTGAAACGGAGCGCCTCCTCTGACGAGCTCCTCCTTGCGCCAACTCAAGCGCAACTCAACAAAGAAAACGAGGGTGCCGTGGACGAGCCTGTGGCCTGTGTCATTCCTACTCAGAACTGGGATGGCGAGAGTCTTGGTAGGCAAGGCAATGGGATTCAACTTGAAAGATGGTCGTGCTTCCCATCCTCCTGAAAATCTTCTTGACGGTGGACTGGCATGCAATTTGGCTGAACTTTCGAACCTGCGCAACGAGAGTTGGGAGATTGCACTCTGTGGTTTTGGACGCGCGCTTTGGCTCAGCGGGAAGCTAAGGTCCTCTGCTGTCTTGCGGGCAATCCCGACCTCCCGGCGGTCAAGTTGTCTTGATCCAATCCCTTCCCGCTTTTGAAGACTGAGGGTAATACGATTGAGACTTGACCTGACGACTTGGGATTCATGGAGCAGAACGTGGTTGCAGCGAGCAGAGGTGCCAGTCCTTGCGACATGGCGACAGGTGGCCACAGCGGCCGTATTCTCGGATCGTTGGATCCGCACCCGGACCTTAATCTTCTGCACATTGTGCACGCACAAGCCAAATTAGGCGTTCTGCAACAAGTTTTTTCTATGAGGTTTGGCTGTTCATCGGCTTGTCCCCTGTCATCTGGTGTCCTTTTCAGTGATTCTTTGTCTTCATGTCCTGCCATCTTCCTTAGTTTGCGCACACGCGCACACTTTCTTGAACAAAGTAGTCAAAGCCCCAGGTGAGTTACAATGACGCTTGGCTCATCGGTTGCGCCGGCAGGGTGGAGGCCGGACATTCGGTGACCTTGAGGATGTGCTACCTTAGAGCTACCACACCTGAGGTTGCCCGGAGCCTTAAAAGTCTGCCTCGGGAGGCGTGTGCGCGCAAGCCCTGGATTCATGGGTAGCCAGATAGCTTCCTTTCACACTCCAATGTCGCCACCGGCCCAGACTGACCCGGAAAAAAAGAAACGTTGTTTGGAAGGCAACCTCAAGCTGTTTCGTTGCAACTCGATTGAGTGCCTAGAACTCTAAGTATAGCTCAAGCTGTCTCATGCATTGTTTAGCTATAACGTTCTTCCTGGTCGCCTGTTTTACTCAGGCAGTTTTCTCACTCAGGCAGCGTCAGGGCAAGTGGCATTCTGACCGAACGAACCATATCTTGAGTGTGCGCTTGTGTGCGCCGCATGAAACAGGATCCCTCAAAACAAGGGCTCCCCTGCAATTCTACACGCGCGTTCTCTGAAACGAACTGCTGTAGGTTCAAAACTTTAGCATTTCTCGGTGCAGAATTTCCAGGAATACTACTGTACAGTAATAACCTTCCTACTCCCGAGGTTTTGACGAAGAAAGCAACACTGAAACAAGCGAAGTGGCTCTTGTAGAAGTCCAGAGCAAGACCGGATTCGCTGTAGGCAGCATTGAGAATGGCCCGGCTCACATACATGGATTCTTCCCCAAGATATCCCATGCTTCCTAAATCCTCAGCAGCCAATCTTGGGTACTCCTTTGCAAACTGACTCTCGGTGGAAGCATAGCTTCCAATCCAGGAGTCCACGCTGACATGGATCGTCGTTTCTTGGGCGCCACATCTCCTGTTGACTTTGTCGTTGAAGTCGGTACACCCGGCCAAGGCGAAAACGGGAGAAGCTCCATTCCCACCCACTGTAGGATCTACCTCAGCATGGAAACCCAGCACCTCGCGGATCATCAGCGCGGTCATCTGGCTGAGAAGAGCGGAAGATGCCCAAGCCATTTCAAACACTCCAATTGGAATGTTGTTGCCTGCGTCATCCTCAAGGGAGGGTTCAGTTCTAGTTCCAAAAGACAGTGGCGCAACTTTTTGGGCTGGTAAATTTGAATCCAATGCTATGTTGCCTTATCAACTCCAAGGCCCCTTGGCTTTGATCAACACAAACGTCATCGGCTCCGCTTGACGCCACCCCGAAACTGTCCTGGATGTACTTCCGCTGGCCTTCCGGCACACCATCATCGAGGCAGAGCTCCGAGCCCCATACGCCCAGATTCAGCCCAAGAAGCACCACTGCCAGGCGCAGCATTGCTCCAAGCATGTCACCCAGGAAATTCAGAACGCTGATCTATGAGCCACAAAGGACTGTCGCCAGGACATCCAATTGCTTCATCATCTCTCAGACAAACAGGAAACACTTTGGACAGGAACCCATTTGAAACGAAGTAAAAAAAGCGAAGGTCTTTGTCACCGCCGGCCTGCACTCTCGTACGAGAGGTGGTCGAGAGAAGCACAAAGCTTGGAAGCCGCCGCGGCCCTGGCTGCGAAATCAACTTTGTTGGATTCATTGGCCTTGAGTAAAGCGACCCTTCAAAAGAAAGGTGACCTCACCCCACCCTGCCTGCCCTGGTTAGCCCTAGATCAAAAGGCGTCTTCTTCCGCCATCAAGGTGAACTGGCACTGGCACTGACGGCCAGCCTTGGCGCGCACTCAAGGTTGTACCAGCAACGTGCTTTTGAACAATAACGGGCTGTTTTTTGCAGGTCAAAAAGTATAGCGAAGCGCATGTGCGCTCATCTAAGAAACGGGTTTGGTCAAAGCAAGACATTGACACTTCAGTATGGCACATCCAAGACCTATCGGCCGCATGTCAACGCCCGACAAAATAGAACACAAAAAAGTGGAGGAAATTTAACTCTGACCATGTGAGGCGGAAAATCTACAAATTGTAGCCCAGCCACAAACGGAATCTCGTGTCTTGGCCACGATGAGAGACAAAAGTGAACATGAGCATTTCGTGTCTTGCCACTACTTTCTGTCGATCCGTTGCTCAAACCGCACCTTTGACGCTTGCCGCCGAAACGGCACGCAGCGTTGAACAACCAACGCTGCCGACCATCGGCACGGACCCATCCGATCCCATCGCGCGGAATCGCGTCCTCTCGGCCTCCCGACGGGGAATCGGGAGCACCTGCGCGGAACAAGCACCGAGCAAATTGACGAAGTGATGCAAAAGGTTCATCCCTCAAGGCTGTTTCAGGCATCGCCAGCTTTAGGCTCCAGTCAGCACGGCCTGTCCATCCCGACCTGTCCATCTCCCTGAGAAAGGAACCATTTCTCAATAGAGAAACCAATGTCGTGTTGCTCTCCAAGAGACCCACTCGCTGGCCGTAGATCAGAAAGAAAAGCATTGCGGTCTTCCCGCCTATCACCCTGCTGAGTGTGATGCGACTCTACCCTGACAGTCCAAAACTGTAAGAATGGTCTGTAAAGCTTTGAAGTAGAGAGCAACCTCTATTTTACTTTGGGGCAAAATATAGTTACTAGTAACAAGGGCATCGCTACTAGGAGCAAGGACGCTACTAGGGGCTCCTGGCCTTACTACTAGGAACAAAAAGCTACTAGTCTTCGACTTCGAACTATATATAGTTGCAATAACTTCCCGCGTCGGATCACCTTCAGCATGGATTGTGTCTCAAGGATATGTATATATATGTCTGTACACTCTACATGTCTCAAATTCAGCTTCAAAACGCCTGAAGAAGACACAGCCGGCCTCCGGTTTGCACCTGGGTTGCACATGGGTTGCCGCTGTGTCCACAAAGCTGACCCGAACTCGAGCAGGGCGGGGGTGCCCAAAAGTCCTAGCAAGAAAGCTTCCTGGTTGAACACGAACCACAACAGGTCTGCACCACTGCACCGCACTTCTTTCCACACATGTGAGGATTCTGTGCGGATGCAAAAGTGGGCTGAATTACAGCCAGGAATCTGCCCACCTACGAAGGGCTAGTGCTGTTAGCGGAACCCTGTCTTTGGGTTGTACCATTTTTTTAAGGTGAAAAGGACGCATCAGCTAGTCTGAAAAGGCCTATCGGTTTCTGTTGCTCGGACCGCCCGGTGTCTTCCACCCGCAAAGGCCTGAAACGCGATGCCCAGTTTGGCCCGGTTATAGGGCTACCCACGACCCTGCGACCCGGTCGGAGGCGTGGGCCGATTGGGCGCGGACGGCTCCAACTGAGTTCATCCCCCAGGCGCAGGGGGTCCAAGTAGTCAACACGAAACACGAGCCCACATTGCACGACTGTGCGAGAATACCATCTGTGTCATCCTTTGCTTGATGAGTAACATGTGAAAGCTACTGGTAACAGGTGCCACGCTAGTAGTAACAAGTGCCTTACTAGTAGTAACAAGAAGCTAGTAGTAAC